CTCAAACATTATTTTATATGGAAAAGCTAACATCTTTAGATCAGTTCAGTGCAAAACATTAGCATAAATTCTATTGAAACTCCTATTTTAAATGACTACGATTTCACTGCTATATTTCAAGCCAATTTCGATTTAAATTGGCTTGATGTTTTAGAAAAATAACTATTGAAACCACCTTGAGTTTATTTTTTAAACAATTTGGAATAATATATTTTAAATAGCAAACATTCAACCAATACATATTTATGATTTCTTCTTATTTAATTTTTTGGAATAATGAAATTGACAAAATAATAAGTAGATTTTTTTTGGATGAAAATCCTATTAGATAATAAATCCAGTTATTAACACAAGTGTATTTATTATTGGCTATGACAAATAATTTTTTGGATTTAATTTTATCCATGATTTTAATCGTGTTCCATAAAGATAATAATCCCACTTAGAAATGCAAGTGAAATTATTATCTACCTGGGAGATAATAATAACACTTGTAAATGTAGGTGGGATTATTATCTTCCCGGAAGGATAATAATTCCAAGTGTATTTCTAAGTGAGAATATTATCCCGCAGGTAACATTTAAAAATTTGCGTTTTTCGGGGTTATTATCCACCAGGATCATAGAATTAATATCTTTCGGGGACTTGACTTTTATACTGATTCTTCAATCATTTATTTATTTACGTAATTCAATCCATTAAATCATTAGTTAAATAGTATCGTCATGAATGCCGGAGTTTGTTCCGATTATTTTGCGCTGATTTTTAAATTTTATTTTTTTAATTTATTATGTTATTAATGCTAAAATAAAGTATACTTACCCGAGCGACAATTTGTGGCGATGGCAGTTGTGTGATTGCCTCCAAACTGCCTTGCCTTGAACAAGTCGATTTCAAGGCACTGCTTCATACTGCATTGCCTTGTGGCTACCATACGACTGCCACAAAAACAAATTTTTTTCTTCTAAAATTTCTGCCTTGCTAAGACAGTTACAAGGCTGTCATATGACTGCCACCGATTTCAGCATTGTTGCAACATACTTCACAAGTGCAATCAGAAATGACTAATATAAGTCGAAGAAATGTTTCCATACTTTTCCTAAGATATTTTAAATAATATCTTTTGTGGCATGGCACTTTCACTGATTCGTGCTCCTTTCAAGACTTAAGTCGTGATAAGACTTAAACTTTTGAATCTCATTTTCTTATTAATTATAGTACAAAACCAAATTAGCTAACGAACATTTAATATTCAAAAAATCAAAAATTATAACAGAATTATAACAGATTTTTGCTGCCATAATAACTGCCTTGTAAGCACCACCTCGTCAACACCCAGGCGATTACAAGGCAAGTTGGTCAGAAGTCGGTGGCAGTTTCAAGACAGCCTTGCGCGCGGAAATATGGAGGTCAGGAGTTGCCATCAAGGCGATAAGGCAGTCGTATGGTGATTATTGATTCGCCTTGACTCAAGGCAGTTGGCAGTAGGCAACGACTTATGACCGCCTTATGGCTGCAATGGAGCAGATAAATGTCGCTCGGGTTATTAATCGAATAATTTAATAAAATTTTGTATCGCATTTTTCCGTTTGAAGAAAAAAGTCGTGTTTTGCGTAAGATAATAAGTGAACGAGCAAAAACACATAGCCAAAAGTCTAGTGATAACGTAACATAATCGCATACAATTGTTCATGATCATCGGCAAATAAAAAACCAAAGTTTTCAACAAAAATTGTTCCACATTAGTGAGCACTCATTGTTACGGAATGGAATTCAGCAATCCAACTTTAATTTTTTTTATTTTTTGCCTGCTTACGTGCTCAGGCATACATATGCGTAAAATGCTAGTATAATCATCCCGAGCGACAATTTGTGGCGATGGCAGTTGTGTGATTGCCTCCAAACTGCCTTGCCTTGAACAAGTCGATTTCAAGGCACTGCTTCATACTGCATTGCCTTGTGGCTACCATACGACTGCCACAAAAACAAATTTTTTTCTTCTAAAATTTCTGCCTTGCTAAGACAGTTACAAGGCTGTCATATGACTGCCACCGATTTCAGCATTGTTGCAACATACTTCACAAGTGCAATCAGAAATGACTAATATAAGTCGAAGAAATGTTTCCATACTTTTCCTAAGATATTTTAAATAATATCTTTTGTGGCATGGCACTTTCACTGATTCGTGCTCCTTTCAAGACTTAAGTCGTGATAAGACTTAAACTTTTGAATCTCATTTTCTTATTAATTATAGTACAAAACCAAATTAGCTAACGAACATTTAATATTCAAAAAATCAAAAATTATAACAGAATTATAACAGATTTTTGCTGCCATAATAACTGCCTTGTAAGCACCACCTCGTCAACACCCAGGCGATTACAAGGCAAGTTGGTCAGAAGTCGGTGGCAGTTTCAAGACAGCCTTGCGCGCGGAAATATGGAGGTCAGGAGTTGCCATCAAGGCGATAAGGCAGTCGTATGGTGATTATTGATTCGCCTTGACTCAAGGCAGTTGGCAGTAGGCAACGACTTATGACCGCCTTATGGCTGCAATGGAGCAGATAAATGTCGCTCGGGGCATGACTTTGTATTTTTTTTTGCTTAACTTTTTTGGCAAAACAATAGAGAACAGCCACAATGTTTTTAATAGTAGGCACAACAATTGTCAATGAAGCGTTCAACGACTAAATAAAGAGAAAAAAAGAAGACAAAATGGGCCAATTAAAATGGAACTTAATCATTGTCCACTTGTTGGGTTGTGTAATATACAAAAACTTTGTAGAATATTTTTTAAGTTAATTGAATTATAGATGGAAGAATAAACGTTTTCATTTTGGATACAGTATGAATCACTCGTAAATTTTTCCAGATCAAATGAATTTAATTTTATTTCTCAAATAAACCAATTTAATTAATGATCTATAATAACATTTAATATTAAGAAGTTATAAGTCTCCAAATGTTTTTCAAATGTTTTTTTGCGTCAGGATTCTGACTTTTACTTGCACAAGTTTTTGATGTCCTTAAATAATTTCTTATAGTTCCTCGGAGAAATATGACGCTTAACAGGTTTAAACAAATAATAATAATAGTAATAATAAAATTGTTTTTTGATATGTAAATTAATATTTTAACTAATTTGTTTCAAAATTGAATGAAATATTATTAATATTAATAAACATGTTGGGATTTATGGCTTTACAGTTGAATATTTCGTAGCCAAATGTAGCTTTTTATATTGTAATATCTAAACTTTCTTAATGAGCAACTGAATTTTTAAGAAAGCAGCTCACAAATAAAACATTTTAGTAGAATATTTAATTTCTTACTAAAGCCGGTGTATCGGATAGAAACCCATTAGGAAGTTTGAAAAAAACAGTGGACAAATGGAAAACAATTGACAATATTTGTAATAACTTGACTTAGAATAGGACATACAAGATTGACACATGGACATTTAATAGAACGGACGAATACTCCGAACTGCAATCGTGCGGAACTACTTTCAGTGAAGCAAATTCTTAATTGCAGCATCAACAAACGAGAACAGGACAAATAGACTTTGACACACTAAAGACAGAAAAATATAAATTAGAAAAAGTCAACATAAAAGAGTTGAATTTGTACGATAAAATCTAACCGACTTTAGCTATGTTACCGAAATAACAAACATATAAATGTTGAATGAATTCAAAAAGGTTTTTATGCCGTCTGAAATAGTTTAAGTACTTTTAAGGCGGGTTTTTCCTTTATAAATGTAGTAATTAAATGAAAAAAATAAAAGTCCTTTAATTTAAAAACGAACCAAATTAAATGTAATTATAATAATAATAATAAAAATACTATATAAAAAAAAACTTTTTAAAAAACCACGTTTTTACCCGTGGACTAAAAAGTAGAAAATAACTTTTTAATTGGGTTCAAAGGATATTGGTTTAAAAATTTGAGACCATACATGAATTGCAAATTTGTTGACTTCGACCATATCGTATATTTCTACATCTTAAAACGTGGGCGCATTCATTAATATTGTATATTTGGAAAGCTTAAATTTCATATAAATGCGCCCACGTTTTAAAATGTAGAACTATATGGTCGAAGTGAACAAATTTGCAATTCATGTATGGTCATGACTTTAGTATGAAACTTTCAAATCAATCTCAAATTTTTGAGATGAGAAAATGACTTGCTGAAAATGTTTTCTGGTCAGATTTCTCAAATGTACAAAAAAATTCTACATTAATGAATGTTTTCAGTATATAATGATACATCAAACAACATTGATTCATTTTCAGTTTCATAAAGGTGTTATTAATTGATGTGAAAATTCATTAAAATTGTCTATCATTGACATTGGATTATTTTCATAATTTAAATGTTTTTTACTATAATTAAGCATTTCTAAGCTCCACAAATGCTTGAATATTGTATTGTCATCGGAAAGATAAGTGCATGCAAAATTTCAGCTCGATTGAAGCAGTAGAAGTAGTCGAAAAATCGATCGCAAAATTTGAAATTTTTTGCAAATAAACAAACAAGAAAGCAAGTTTAGGTGCCGTTCACTTATTACGTTACGCAAAAAACCGACTTTTTTTCACCCCCTCCCCCCTTTCTTACAACATGTTACAACTCGTAACCCCCCCCCCCCCTGAACGTTCATAATTCAAATTTTTTTCGTGAACTTTTTTTAAAAGACAGACGACAGTTAGAACGTTCTTGACACCCCCCCCCCCCCTTCATTCACGAATGTTTGTATTTTAGATGTTTTTAACCCTTTTTAACCATTTTGCCTTATTTACTCACATAATCCAAAAACTGTTTTTTAGAATCTGAACAAAAACAATTTACACGTGACTACGTGAATTGTAATAATAAACTTTATGAAGTTACGCAGATGTTGAAACGTCAAATTGCCACATGACATGATTTAATTCGATTTTATTAATGTTAAAAATTAAATTCTTGCTATTTTAATTTTTTCAAACAAAAAAAAAATAGGTATTGCAGCAAAAACTTGAACAGGCAACAAAGTCAAAAATTCTTCTAATTAAAAAATTAGACAAATCAAAAGAAGATGTAGAAGACTTGAAATTTACGGTAAGTACAACATATGATCTCTTATCTCACGAAATCACTGACATTCAAAAAAATTTCTTAAATTCACACAAATAAAACAGGTTGAGGAACGAAACATTGAATTGGAAGGAGCACGAGCACAAATCCGTGTAATGGAAGCAAAACTATTAGCAGCACGCTGTGATGTAAGTCCTGAGCATCAATCATCGTCATCGTCGACGACTACACGATTATCTCGAGACGGCATAACTGTTATGCATACATCCACACCAATTCAAAGACATATTCAGCCCACAACAATTTCAACGCCAAGTATGAAAGCTATGATACCACTTGCTATGGATGATTTATTTCAACACAGTAGTTCGACAGAGTCGGCACATGATCAGCAAGAGAGAGATATGACTACATCAAAATGTCCAGAGACACCACGTCGAACAAAACCGAGTAAGATTCCATTGCCGGGTTCAACAAAAACGGCTGTGAATTTTTCTACAAAGCCACCAAGTGGACGTGCGATTTCAGCTGGTCCACCATCAGCAAATAGAAGCCTTACAAAAAGTACTAGTAGTCTTTATGCAGCAAGTGGATTCAGAGCAGGTGGACCATCGTCTTTGACAAAAAAAGATTTAAGTCTTAATCGTCCAGATTCCGTTCATAGCTTGAGAAATTCAAACTCAATGGACGGCAATAAGACACAACAGCAAGCAAACCGTAACTCATCGTCATCAATACCAATATCGCAGAGTAATAGTACCAACGTAAGCAATAAGCTTGTTGCGACAGCATCACCGACATTGATAGCAGCATATGGAAATGCGACAATTGTCAACATTCCATCATCATCGCCAAATAAGTTTGTGACATCTTCACAGTCTCCAGTGCTAAGACCAAAGCGCGATTCATTAACAACACGAGTCAAGAATTTAGATTCATTATCACGCCTTCAATCGTCATCATCAAGTGGCACATTATCGGCAAATGGAATTGGTGGCAATGCTATATCAACACCACGATTGAACAATAACAGCAATTGCAATAATAATCAAAATGTGGTAACAAATGGCACTAATAATAACAATAATAATAGAAAGTATACTGCACTTCCGGTACGTCGCATGAGTAATGTTTCAGTCCGCGATGCAAATACAATTGATCACCAACATCACATTCATCATCACAATGATAATAGCTCTAGTGCTAATGGTAATTCTGATGCGAATAGCGGAAAGGTACGAAACATTCGAAGTTCCATCTGGAATTGGCTGAAAATTTAAGAAACAGAGTAGCCTTTAATTGAGCAAACACAAATTTAAACTTTATTTCTAATTTTTTAATACAATAATTGCGCGACATGATTCTATTTATGATAATATGCGCTAAATGACGTACTGTGAAATATTTTCTGGAACAAATATAAATCTATGTTTGTTGCTGTTTATGTAAAAATATAAGAAGGAAGTGGGAAACATTTCTTATATTTTGACTTATGATGATGATCATAGAAATAATTTTTGTTATTAATATATGTTAAGTTTATTAATTCATAAAAAAAATTATTATGTGTTTCATGTGTGGAAAGGAAAAGAATATAAATATGACAGATAATTGATGGACTTATGATTAATTATGTACCTTTAAACCATGAAACTAGTTAATTAATTATATTTGTGTAATTTTTTAATTTCATTTCATTTATGTATGTTAATTTGTCAATTGGTAAAAAATTTAAACGATGTTAAAATGCTGAAAGGATTTGCAAATATTTTTGGTTAATTTTTTTTTAGTATTGTATGTTTTTACTAGTTTTTGCTTTCCTAGAGCAAAAAAAGTGCGAAATTTACAGCTTTATAAATAAAGCTTGATTTCGTATGCCAGAAGGACTTGCACTCTGGTAGAGTAGTTCTGCGGTATAATCTTAGTTTTGTCGAGCTTTTTTTGCTTCCTACCTTAAAAAATGTTTGAATATGTCTTTTTCAATATCACAGTTTGTATCTAGCATTCTCACTTTTTAACGCTCTTTTAAAATTTTTGCAATGATTCATCTAATTGCACATCTTATACTGGCAAGCTGCCGATTGATAGCCAAAAATTACCTTTAAGTTTCTGGCATTAAAACATTCATCAAAAACAGTGCGATGAGAGTTCGACAATCAGAAAAATGACCAAAAACTATTGCAAAAACTTCCAATTCAATGGCAGAAAAATCCAACAATTAATAGGATCATATTTAATATAATTTTCCAATGATGTGTTTCAAAAGAAAATGCTTAATTTAAATCAAAAAAAAATTATTTAATCTACTGTGAATTAGCTATAACACCATAACGGAGCGTAGTCAGAAATTTTTCGAAAGGGGGTGGGTGGTGATTTCCAAAATTTTTTTGGATGAGAAAAATCCAGACCAAAATTAACTGGATTTTTTTTCCTCCAAACCCCTAGCAAAAAGAGTATTTAAGAGAGGGAGGATTTAACACTCTAATTACCTCCTTGACTATGCGCTTTAGATATAAACAATGATTGTAGCTTATCAACTGTATTTTAAAGATGAAAAAACTTTCAAAAAATTTTTTCAATATCAAATAAATTTTTAAAAATGACTGTAAAATTTTTAGTTTAGACTGTAAATTTAGTTCCTAATATAAAAAGATATTTATTTCTCTAAAACAGACTACATTCTCTTGAAACACGTTGGAATTAATTGTTTTAAACATTTTGTGATTACTTTTATTTTACTTAAAAGCGAATCCTATTTTTATATACTTCTTTCTCCGGTTTATCTGTGAAAGTCATAGCAAAAGTGAACAGTAATTACTAATCATGATATTTATGATTGACTAATTATGGACAGATAATTTTGCTGATTATGATGTACTTTTATGTTTTGTTTTTTTTTTTTGTTTTTGTAAAATAATTTTTTTGGGCTTAAAAAGTTTTATGTTTACGATGTAAAAAAGAATAAAAAATTTAAAAAAAACTTTCTTATGAACATAAAAATTTCTTTATATTTGATTCGTACTAATTATTTGTAAACTGGATTTGTCTCGCCAAAAGAATTGTGTAGTTTTTGGGCACAATATTCTAGGAATTGTTACTAATAATGAGAAAAAAGGTGATAATATAAATTAAACAAAAATCTTATTATGGGAACCACATATAGCTAAACTCTTGCTCACGAATCTCATTGGAACTTCACCTGGATAACTAACGAAAGAAATTTTTATTTTGTTCCTTATTACTGCCATTATACATCATCATCATCATATTGGTCTCGCAGATGCAGCTTTAAATCACCCACAGACCAGAATCACTACGAAAATCCCCGAACCCACCACAAACGAAACTCACGGATTTCCAAAACCATCACTCGGAAATAATTACTGATTAACTTGCTTGCATGCTTGCTTGCTTGCTTGCTTCAGCAATGACGCAACCAATTTGAAATCTGTTTTTTGCAAAAGATGTGAAATTCCAGGCACAAACTTTTCATCTCTGAACATTTTAAGCTATCTTGCTCCATATCCTCACAAAATTCAAAAAATGATTTTTCAATCTGAACAAAAGCAATAGATTCACACGTGAAAACGGTGCGAATATAATAAGAGAAATCGAATGTAATGATTTTCAAACAAATAAAAAAACTTTACCTATTCAGATAAATTGTGACTCAGAGGTGCGTTAGGGCGTTTCACAGCTAACGTGAATTTACTGAGTGAGAATGCGCCAAACCACTGCACTGAAACCTTGACTTACAGTTTATAGTGCGATTCAAACCACTCCTTTGATGCTGTCTGCATCCTACAAACGAAGACTGTGAGCTTAATTTCCAGTACATATGATTCGAAAAGAACGAGTGAAAAATTTCCTATATTTAGATTCGAACCCATGATCGCTGTGTAGGTATTGCAATAATTAGGTATCGAAGTACTCCACCGAGCCACTTCAGCTCACTAATGATTTTCAAAAACAAGTTGTTGGAATTCAAATTTTAACGGGTTCCAGATTTAAAATTATTGAAATGAGAAAATCATTATTTATAGTATTTAACCACTGTTTAACGTTTCGACTCTCCGAGATGTCTGCTTTAGGAGATTCCAGTACTAGTGCATTATTATGCTACCTATTAGAAAACAAGTTCTCAAAAATGCGTTAAAAAGAGAAGACTTTAACTGAAAATTATTAAGATTTATGGTTTGCGGTTAGTTAAGAGGTGAAACTCAAAAATCGACAATTTTTGTCAAGACGAAATTTTTTGAATCAGAAATGCGGAAGTTTCTTTAAGAAAAACACTCATAAATTAAATTTTCCTTTGCTCTGGGAATTTTTCAAAATTTTTCTCATTCATCTATTAAATTATCGTATCAACATCAACAACAAGCATCATAACGTATTCCAATGATAAAAAGATAAAGCTGAAAATGATGGCAGGCAGCTAATAATTAGAACTGAAATATTACTTCCATTCGCAACTTTTGCAAATCATTTGTTTGACAATTATTATTTTTATTGATTATTTTTGAACATTCAAAATCGAAAGTTTTGTGTGAGTTTGATGATTCATGTCCATCAATTATCTTTTTGTTATATCAGGATTATCCAATATTTAGACTTTATTGGTAAAGAAGAAGACATTGACACATGACAACAATAGAGGCGTAGTCAGGGGAGTTTTCAGTAAGATTGGAATAAAACGAAAATCAATAACTGTTGAGAAACTCGTAAAAGTATTTTTGTAATAAAACGTTTAATTAATCAGGAGTAGGTATTTTAATTATTGGGGGTTCTGACTATCTGAGAAATACCAAATACCCCAAGTAATAAAACTCAAATTTTGCACAAATACTAAATAATTTTTTTAACGAGAAGTTATTAAAAAATGAAAAAAAAATCTTCATTTTAAACTTGAATTTTATCAAATTTAACAATATTTATGAACCAAATTTATAAAAATTATATATATAATTTTAAATTATATTTAGGGTAAAAAATATATTTATTGACGCAAAATGCAGTTGAGATTTTCTGTGTGTTTTATTATAGTACAAAAGTAATCTACATTTGTTTAATGAGTCATAAACAAGAATAGGCACTTGAACTGCCTAGTTCCTTTACATTCACAAAAATTTTTTTTGCTGCTTTTTCATCAAGGAATCACCTCATGATGCCAAAATTTTTTTTCCGGAACTGACCGGTTCCTTTCGTACCTGATGACTGCAAAGTATGTTTATCTAATCATAAAAGTGTAAAGCATGATTTTCAGTAATATTTGATCAACATTTAAGATTTTAAAAGCATTGAAAGCAGGTAGTTCCTTATATGCAGTTAGATCTAGGCATGCTCGATAAAGTCCAGTTATTTATATGTAAGCAGCAAGGCACAGAAGATTAAAAATCCCGAATTGGATTTCGTTTAACTCAAAAAGCATGGAACCATTGGTTGCTGTTACCTTTATTTAAGAAATGTTTGGATCTAAAAGATCCAGTTGCAAGATTCTGGCCGAAAAAGGATCAACTGCATCCTTACTTATTAGGAAATGCGGCTGAAAACTGTTGATTTGAAAAATAATTTGAGAAATTGCATACAAAAATTTTATATGGCGGGATTTTAAAATCCCAATAAAATCTTTCATACAAGTGATTTAAATCAAAATCCCAAAGAAAATCCCTTTGAAAAAATTATTTAAATCAAAATCGAGAAAAAAATCACTTTTGTAAAATAATTGAAATCATTTTTCATTGAAATTCAAATCAAAATCAAAAATAAACTCTTTTGCCGCACCAATTTTAATATTTTTCGCACCAATTATTATGTTTGACATAAATGATTGAATTCTAAAGCAGTGCTGACTTTTTAAAAATTAACAAAAATATTTTCTGAAATTTTGGACAATTCTTTTTTTATAAATGGTCCTTGATTAAATATCATGCATCAGATAGAAAGTTATGGCTCTTTAAACTTTTTGTCTCCATTTCGCAACAATTTACATATTTTTTACCCTATATAATTTTTTAAAGTTAATTAACGAAAAGTTAAGAAATATTAATGATTAGCTCTACAATGTATGCTTAACTGCTTATAACCACCAAAAAGTTTCATTATCTTAAAGAAACACTTAGGATTACGCAATTTATTTTGAATTCTAGAAAAACAGGAAAACAGCTGTTTTTAAAAATCATAAACCGAAAACAGATTCAAAAACACAAACCCTAGTGCTGAAAAACCAAAATATTTA